CCCCAAAACCCCAAAACCCCAAAACCCCAAAACCCCTACCCTCTACATAATTATTGAAAACAATGAACATGAACAAGACCACTCCCAGCCCCGACCAAGACCATCAAACCCCTGAAGAACAAAAAGTAGGATATATACTAAATCTTGGAAATTTGTTCGGGAAATTTCAGATTTTCACTTAAATAAAAGAAATTTTTGAGATTTTAAGCGGCTGGAAGCAGAAATTTTTGAAAAATGGGGGCTGAAGAAGTCAGAATTTTTAACTGCGGGCTAAGATAGTGGGAATTATGAGGTATTATAGGACTTTCAGAATATTGAGAAGAACGGAAAATGTACAGAGCATCTTAATGGAGATTGCCGCCTTGAAGGTGAATGGAAATAAAAATGAGTTACATGGCAAGGTCACCTTCTTTTATCCTGATGGCAGCAGGATTGAAGGGATAGCTGAGGAAGGTGATTTCATCTCAGGCGCTTATTATGACCATAAGGGTAAAAAGATCAAGAAGCTTAAGGTAGACTTTGTGAAGAGAGAAGAAATGCCTGATTTCAAACATGATAAAGATCCTTATGAGAAGAGATTTCTGAAAGTCAAAGAAGTTGAGGGAAAGGGACAGGGTCTTTTTGCTAAGAGGTTAATCAAGCAGGGACAGCTATGTTCACTTTATTCTGGAACATTAATCCCTCATTATAAAGTTGACAGGAGGAGATGGGAGTTCAACAGTAATACAATCGAAGCAGACCCGAATTTTTCGATAGATGTACCTTCTCCATATCATAATCTTGAAGAGTACTCTGCCTCTTTGGGACACAAAGCTAATCATAGTTTTGAACCAAATTCTAAGTATGTGTTTTTGTTCCATCCTAAGTTTGGGGACATAATGTCTGTGGTCGCCACCAAAGACATCGAACCAGGGGAAGAAATTACTGTAAATTATGGCTATTCAAAACACGCTAGGGGTCCTAAATGGTACAGGGAAGCTAGAAAAGCTTATAGAAAAGAGCAAAAACAAATAGAAATAGCTGAAAGAAAGAGACAGAGAGAAGTCAGTAAGCCCAAAGCCAAAATAACAAGCAAGAGAAGAAAATTAGAATAGTTTTGAGAACTAATAAAATGGAAATCAGTTAAACATTAAATACTTGGGGTTTTGGGGTTTTGGGGTTTTGGGGTTTTGGGG